TTAGACTGTAAATTAAGTATTGTATCGACCTATGGATTAAGTTGCTCTGGCATGACTAACATTGATTGGCATGGTAACATCTTTTCCTCAGCTCCATTTGTGCATCATCTTTCACAATGATCAAGTTTTTATTTAGTCTTTTCCAGACTGTTAAAAATGTTCATTTTTTCATTTGTCATCAGGAGTTGACCTGCGTATTCCTTTCGTATGAAGTGATCACAAATTTATGATAGTAACTAATGTTCCTTATTTTGGCTTACTGACATTTTTATGCAAATGTTCTATGAAAATCTTATATTAGAAATTTATTGTACATATGAAGTGCAAGGAAATGAAGAAATGGAAAGAAACTTGTCACTTCGTTGAATTCGCAGGGCGTAGTCATTCCTTCCCCTTGCTTCTAGTAGTGTAGAGACCATTTAAGCGGGTCACAGCTTCAAGGTATATGAGCACCTGCACTGCATGGGCATAGAATCGCATACTGTACTGTTGGGTCGAACAGAAAGTTTAACAAGGTAGTATCTTTATCGATACGCATATATGACACAAATTAACCTTGACATTATGGGTTTACTTACAGAATACTAATTTTCGATGCAGGACCGAGGTATAATCATTGATGTTTGAACCGAATTTTGTTCGAGTGAAATGGAGGCCTGACTTAGTGGTCCCATGGGCTACTAGACGCAGGTAGCGGTGGCGACTAAGCCGTACGTAAATTTTGTCTGCCGTGTCAAATCTTATTGTTTCGTAAGAAACCCATGGTACCCGGATAAGGTTCTATTAGAAAGAAACTTGTTCGTACTTTCTGCAACAAGTATAAGTGATATTTTGGTAACGTTTCTGGCTTGATCGAACGATTGCGAAGAACTAAACATTAAGTGCACTACATTTCTGGTCAAAAAGCATGTATGTTTGTACATCATCTACTGTAGTTCTGCATGCTTAACCTAAAAATCACGTGTTGAATGTATCCTACGGTGACGTATGTGGTTTCGGTTAAACAGCAGTATTCTCTTGATTGGTAGCGGAATGTTATAAGCTGTTCGACCCAGTCGCCATTAAGCGCACTCTTAGGCCGAGTAGTGGGCACAGGTATTGACAAACGTGAAAGAGCGGTAGCACTTTTTTAGAACTAAACAAATGCATTGAAGGGAAGGTATTTGCTGGCCGTATTATTGTCATTTACAACTTAGATAGAATCAGGAAAGCAACAGCATGCTCTTTTTTTAATATTACGATGCCATTACTTTGAAGAACCACAATATTTAGCATTTTGTAACATGTATTTGTTGTTTTATGTAGGAACACAATTCTTTATCATAGTTATCATAAACTGGTTTACTTCGTGTAATCAGACTCAAAAATTTGTCTCACCTTTCGGATCAGCTATAACCATCCGGTGAGAGGGGATATCATGCACAGTTTATCAGCGTAGAACGGTAAGTTGTATTATACTCTGTGATAGTACGATTATGTTATCGGTTCTATTTTTGTCTGCCGTATGTTTTATTATTACAGTATTATCGAATTATTTTACGTATTGTTCGACTGTGCAATTCCTGGATTATTGTTGTAAACCGATTGGATGTAGCATAGCTGTATTTGGTTAGTACTGCAAGAGCCTTTCTGCCTTGGTGTTGATGACCACCAAAGTGCCCCTGACTGTTGCTCTGCTGCGTACCATAAGACGGGGATAGAAAAAACCATAATAAAGCTGAGCCTTTTGTGTTTTCGACAAGTTGCTGTTATTTTGCTCTGCTAGTAAATGGAGTGTCGGTGCAGACGGGGCGTGAAAATAGACACATGGATCGTCTAGACGAGCATTGTGACACAATGGCAGAACCTGTCGGCGGCGATGACGACGGAGCTGGGCTGTAATGCAATGTTGTCTGTTTCCAAGTCTGATTATTCACACCTCCCGTTACATATACTCATGACTGCTCGATAATGACCTAACGTGTGATCTGATATACAGGCGAGACAAATGAAATTTCTTTGAAGGATTGCTAATGTGACGAGACTGGCGAAGTTCAGAATATGGCAGTTCGAGGTGCCCTGGTTTGCAAATCGCTTCTTCTTCAGATCGACCGATGACAGTTAGAATTTTTTGACATCTGATGAAAATGCGGCAGAAGAGACTTGCCATATGAACTCTTTTGGCTAAAGCTGCAGAAAAGATGGCACAGAAACAGATCGCGGGCCTACGGTTTAAATTATATAGAAGGCTCGGCGCTGCTACCCCTTGGAATCTAGGCTGCTTAGATTGCCCGCTTGGTTTGGAACTTGGATCATTAAAAGAGCTTCCTGAAGCAGCAGTTCGTAGGACCCAAAATAAATAGTCGCTTGAAAATTAACGAATGAATGTCCTGTATAACACTGAATATTTTACTATTTTATAGTAGTATAGTGACTTTATATTAGTTGGTGGTAATTATTTATTATAGTCGCGCAGAAATGTTATATTGCAATGTAGACAGACCTACATGATCATAATATGCTGCAGATAGATTTCTAAAATGCTGATTTGTGATGAATTTCACCGCTGAACGTAAAGCGGCTTCTCTCCCACTGCATTTAATCGTTTCTTGTTTTTTTCTCAGAGCGATATCCCCCATTCGCCAATGCAAACGACGTCGCCTTTCTTCCAAGGCGTGACCTTTACTCCAGGTTTCCGCGTGACTATGAAACCTGGCCAGATCTGCCTCCAAGACCTGATGGTAAGCATACTTTGTTTGTTGGTCGCGTTTTGCCCTTCACGTCAGTTACTTACAATACGTCGTTTAGAAGTGCCGAAGGAGAGAAAAAAGTTAGAACTCGTGCCTCGTTCTCGTCCGCTTAGCGGAGACGCTCCTGACCCGGCAGCCCCTTCCAAGTCGAGCATATTTGGCGAAGCGAAGCCGGTGGATACGGCGGCGAAAGAGCGCGAGATTGAAGAGAGGCTCGAGCGCGAGCGACAGGAGCTTCATCGCCAACTTGAATTGGAGCAAGAAGCGTATGCAGTTTCTATTTGTTCTATTTTTATTATCATAATCATCTGTATCTTTTTGTGTTTCCTCTTCTGTTTCGTCTGTAGATTTGCTTCCACTCTTGTACTCTTCTTATTCTTCTATTTTCTCTTAGCTTATCACTGTTGTTTGTTTACCATCTGTTCTTTTCAGATTAAGATCTGAGTTACATCGCTCATCCCGAGCCGGGTCCGTGTGTAGCGTTGCTACGGACTACTCTTCTTACCCCCCACAGGAACGCCGCAGATACAGGAATCATTCATCATGTAAGAGTTTTAACGTATGTGCGCGATATCTTGTTCATCGGTTTATTTATTCAACTTTTAGTATTTATTTTAATAATTTGAATAA